ATACTGGTTACAAAAAGAAAAAGAACAAATTTTAGACATAAATTTTGAATAATAGTAAATAACAGCAAACAAAGGAAAATCTGGATTTTATATACCCAATTGTTCCAATTGGGCTAAAAAATTGGTGATCGCAAGCATGTCGATGGGATCGGGTTGCAGGTGTGACGGGGGATCAGGGTGAGCGCTGCGGAAAGCCTTGACTGGGACGAGGTAGGGAAGAGGATCACGGGAAATATACATGGGGATGGTATCAGTGATTTGGTGTTTTGAGATCTGATCCCAAAACTGGCTGTCGGGTTTGAACCTTCTTTTGATGAAGAAGGTGCCAGGAGGTGGATGGGTGAGAGAGCAGGGAAATTGGCGGACGAGATTGAAGAACTTCTCCACGTCGAAGTTCTCGGGAGCACTGTTTTTCAAAGTCGGCCGCGGAGCGGAGGACGGTGGCGTATTGGTGTAGCGAGATGTTAGCTAGCCTCGGTTCTACCCCTATCAATTGCTCCGCGAGTTCTTCGGCGCGGCCGGTTTCGCGACGAATCCGCTTATTATACTTCTCCCGACGGTGTCGCAATGCGCATTTCGTTTGTCTATTCGGGATGGCGTTCGTTTGGTTCACTATGTAAAAGAGAGTCAGATGAAAGAGAATGTGAGGCGAGAGTGGTAAAAAAAAGGAAATTGAGGAATCGTGATAAGGCAACTTCACTGCATCAATCGGCGGCTTGCCAAGTCGGAATGTGTAGAAATCGGGAAGGCAGCTTCACGAGTTAATCGGCGGCTTGCCAATTTGGAATGTTAGAAGTGCTTTAATGAAACAAATATGTAGAAGTCGCGAACCAAACAAGCCAATCTACCGCGGAATAAAGTGATAAAGATGGATTTATTTTTATTGTAGCCGCTGGTGAAGGTCGAGAAATGTAATGGCTAGGCTGGATCGTGGATCGAATCACACGAAAAATGTAAGAATCGCGCACAGATTTTAACTGATAAAGAAAGATTTGTCGACAACTTCGGATGGTCCCATCCGTGAAGGCGTGGAGCGATGAGAAGCGGAAAGAGGAGAGAGCGATCCGCTCCAAGTCGCGGTTTTTAAAGGGTTCCGAAGGGGTGGGAATATTTGAGGGCGTGATGGATTTCCGTTGGCTTGTCGAATGATAGTTTAGGAAAATTGTGAGTATAGAGGAAGGAGGGGAGCGGTGTTCTGTGAATTGTGGTTGTTTTTATATTTCCAGATTTCCTAGCGAATGATGGAATTAGTTAGTAAAAATTTTCCCGCCATTCCACACCCTCAATCATTCATTGGTGTGGTCGCCAACGGCCGCTAATCGTTTCTTCTTGATTGGCGTTTCCCTTAGTTTCCCCACCCTCGAACGATCCGACGCGTTTCTTATCCGTTAGGAATTTGCTTTTGTTAATATTAATTTTTTATTGGTAGGTCATAAACTTATCGGTGCCGACAAAGCTGTTTATCCCAAGAATTTTTTTGATAGTGAGACATATCTCGAGAGGAATTTTTGTTTATTTATTTAGGGTTTCCTTAGATTGTTCGAAGCGCTTCGTTTATAGATTAGCAGCCGTTGTTTTTTTTCTTCCCGAAAGAGCAGAATTCGTGAAGTCCCCCGGACGTAACATGTACAACAGGGCTGGTAAAGCGTGGCTCGCAAGCCATCCCCTCCATTGAACGCTGTCATATCATTGTGACTTACCATCACTGAAATCGGTCGATGAATCGAGTTGGAGGGAACAGCATTCGATGGAGAGGATAGCTCGCGAGCCACGCTTTGCCATCCCTGGTGTACAATATGATCGTGTGTACAATGTAGTCGTGTGTGCAATATTATTGTGTGTGCAATGCGTTGTGCGCAATATGGTCATGTGTGCAATATTGTTGTGTGTGCAATGCGATGTGTGCAATGACCGTGTGTGCAATATACTGTGTGCAAACGAAGGCAAACTGTAGGCAAACGGGACCTTCTCCTTTATTTTTCCTTTTATAAAAAATATAAATTTTCTCTTTTAAAAAATATAATATTTTTGAAAATCTTTATAATTTTTTAAATCAAAATACTCTTTGTATTTAACTCTTTGTGAAATATTAAAAAATCACAAACATTCCTAAATATTTATAAATAGTAATACAAATATATATATATATTAATATATGTATATGTAATACATATATACATATATATTAATAATTAAAATCATAAAGACATAAAATGTGTATTATTATTGTTTGTTTCAGGAAAACATTCAAAAAGAAGACCAAGATATTTAAAATTAAAAAATATAGTTAAAATTATTTTAAATTACTTTTTAATATTACAGTTTATATTAAAAATTAAGTAATTTGTATTACGTTTTGTTTAAATAAATCTTAATACGCAACAATTTATATATTTCAATTTATATAT